CAAGTACAACTGGCAGCTGCCGTGTAAAACGCAGGGAGAGCTGCTGAGCTGGTGTCACCTTCGCTGTGTGTTTGCGCTGAGTGGAGCAGGAGGGTACACAGGGGTGGCAGGTACCGCGGAGGGCACCGAGTGGAGCACAGACTCGTGTGCTTGCAGGATGCACAGACAGAGATTTCTCTCTTGTTCCCCTCTCCTTCCGTAAAATTCGGAAGGAGACACATTTTAATGACAGTTGCTGAAATGTGTACTTACTGCTGATTTGACATTGGGCAGAAGAAGTGTCTACAGAATCAATTTTTAATAAACGTAAACAACTAAATTATGAATGAAAAAATATCACAGAACCATTAAATATTAATAATATAATTACTTAAATTAATACTTTTAGTGCAATGTTGTGATAGAGAGTTTTACTTACGCAGTGTGTCTGCGCTGGCTGGGTGGGTGCAGAGGGGGGACAGGACCACAGCACCCCCTGGCAGTGGGGCTTGGGAGTGCAGGGCTCTGCTGGTGCTTGCCACAGCCCCAGCTGCTGCTTGTCCCACAGGTCCCACAGTACTGGACACTCCTCGTAAAGCCTCTGAAACCAGATTTATTAAGAACAAACTTCAGTTTTCTGTTCAAAAAGAGAGCTGTCAAGAAAATGGCTAAACTAGCCCCAAACCAGAAAGCAACTCCCCTTGCCCAAAACCCTTCCCGTCCCAAAGTGCTGTTAGCCCCCTCGACAGTGGTGTGTGATATACGGAGCCGTGACTGTGCTCAGCGATGATCTCGGGAAGACCGAGGGTGCTCCGGAGGGAGCTGGGGGTGCAAAAAGCCCTGTCTGCCTCTAAGATGGAGCTGGGTGACTTTGTGAAAGAGACGGCGTGCTGCAGGCTCTGCTGTGGGGCTGGAGCCACTGCCCTGCGGGCCCCCTCTGTGCTCCCCTCTCGACAGGCGCTGCAGGGAGCTGGCGTGGTGGAAAATTGGTCACCAGCATTACGGGGAGTGTGGGTAGCAGCAGCCGTCTGTAGGTACTTGCACACAGCACGCGGCTTCCTCCCCTGCCCAAGAAACTAAGAAAAGAATTTACTGGCGCTCCTGTCTTTGTGGGTTGGCTGGCTGCATTGTTTGTTTTTAATCTAATAAAAGGAGATCTTAATATCATAGTAAAATCGGTACAAAGCTAGAAACTCGCCCCTTGGCGTTTTGGCGAAACATTATTGAAAATGTAAAAGCCTTTAGCAGAAACAACAGAAGCACAAAGAAATTGTAGAAATAGGATCAACAGGTTGTGTTCTGGATGTTGGGGGGAGCGGGGAAGAGCATCCAGCTGGGACTCAGGCTGCTGGCAAGACCCACTAAGCTGGAGGCCAGAGGCCAGCCCAGTTGTGGCTCTGCTCCACAGGGATGTGATGCAGCGGTGGCCGGGAGCAGGGGCTGTACGAGCGTCGGGGTGGACAGCACTGTGGAGCAGTGGCTGGGTGGTAGGGAAGAGCACATTGCCAGGAGGGCAGGAGCAATGGAGGAGGAGAGACAGGCGGCTGGGAAGAGCCATGCACTGGGAAGGTGGTGTGAGCATAGTGGGACCTGGACAGGGAAGTGGAGGCAATGGAGAGGCAAGCTTGCCATCCTTGGGCTTGCAGCTTGGATTGGTCCTGGCTCAGTCTGCTTGCTGTCTGGAAATTAAATCTTGGACAGAAATTTAAAGAGTGTGTTTAAACGAGAAAGTGAAGCATCTCTTGCAAAGGGTGAAAAAAAAGAAGTGTTCATTGCTCAGACTCACCCACTGCTGTAGGATCCAAGTGCTGCTCTTTTTGCCTCATCTCTGTTTTCTTGTGGTTTCCACTTCACAAGCATCACTGGAAGCACCAGTCCCATCTGCCATAAGCAAGCGCCTCCTGAAAATGCCATTACCCAATTTGTCCACCAGTACAGTACAAGGCACCATGACTGCTCATAAAAACAACCATTTTCACGGTGACTACTGCCCAATCTGAGCACTGCAGCTGCTCCCAACTTTAATTCACATCACGTGGCGGCACTGGAGGGAGCAGCTTCCTGAGGCCACCAGCCGGACTGGTACCTAATTTCTGATTGAACATCAACAAGTTTACACCGTGCAAAACCATTCCCATCCCCTCGCACTCACTGAGTTGCCAGCTCTCCAACAGCCGGTGTACATTTTGCTTCCATGCTTCTGCATGTGGCATTTCGTTCTGGCCACCCAAGACCCATCCACTGAGAGCATCAGGTCTCAGTGGGGCTTGTGGAGCTGCCTCTGGTCACTGTGCTGTTTTCCATGGCTTCACACATGATAAGTAACCCTGTCAGGCGAATTTTCTTTTCAAAGCTCCATTTGAGCTCACTGTGCTCTTACAGCGTTGTGTTTTCTGATGGACTTTATACAGGTAGGGTTTATACCGGCAAGAAGGGAGAAGCAGGAGCGCTTTCCACATACAGCGTTACAACACGCTGCAGTGAAGTTGGTTCTTGGAACATCGCAGCCCCCTAAAACGTCAAATAAATCCTTAAACTATTCATCACTCTGTTTTTGGGGTGGCAGTTAAGTCTTTCAACACTCTGCAAGTTTCTTTCCCCAGCAGTAATTTCACTGGTGAAGAAATACAGCTCAGGGCGCTCCACAAAGGCCTCAAAACTCATGTTTTGTTTTCATTTAAAAAAAAAACGCTTCACTACATTAAAGAGCGGCCTATTAAAATTTTGTACCCTGTCTTCCCTGCACCCTGTCGTTGTTGGCAAACCTTCCCCAGTATGCACAGCGGAGCCGAACAGCAGCAACTTGCTTTTGCAGACTTCACAGAGAAAGGGCAGCGAAGGGTAGGAGGTTTGAGCCACAGCCCAGCTTGTTTAGGTGTAAGATCTCAAAACTTTCAATAGCCACACGAATTTATTCAGTAAATATCCCGTAAGGAACCTTAAGCTGCTCCTATCAGTGTTTCCTCTGCTTCCAGTCTAACCCAGCCCAGCACACTGGCTCATGTGCATGTCGAAGGAAATAAATTAACTGTCTGGTTCCTGGAATAAAATTTAACACTCTACAAAGCGTGATATTTAACTGTCTCAGGCACATAGCCCAAAAATAACAACAAGAAAGAAAATAATGAATTAGTGGAGGCTTACCAAACCTTGGGATTATATAAATTAAATGTTGCAGCATGAACTGGATGGTGTTTTCTGATACTGTTGAAAAGCCAGAGGTCAAAGAAAAACAGTAAACGTGTTATAATTAGAGTTTAGGGGAGCATTTAGTTATTCTCATAAGCAACTCAGAGTAGCTGAACGCTGACACAGACGTGAGAGCAGGCAGTAAAACCTGGAGCTTGCTTAAGAGGGCAGAAAGGTTTCTAGCTGAATTCAGTGGGGACTTGCTAAGTCCAGTTTTATTTAATATCTCCACAGTTAATTTGGAAATAAATGGCACATTAATTAAATTTGCAACTAAATTAGTAAGTGAGAAGATCAGATCTAGGTGCAGCTATGGAGAGCAAATCTCACCGTGTTGCACAGACTCACAACCCAAAGCAAGCGGCGTGGGGCACAGCAGAAGCACCAGCACTGTGGCGGTGGGAGGGCAAACCTACCCCTTCCCATCGCCGGGGTGGGTACACGCCTTCCCCAGCCAGGCTGTGGTCTCTCACATCCGCTCCCCTTGCTCCTGGGCCAGAAAGCTTGGGTGGGGTGGTGATGCTGGAAGGAGGGAGGCAGCGAGGCTGCGGCAGTCACCAGCAGTGCTGGCCATTGCCGCTGGCAGGGTTTGGTGAGCTCCTTCTCCACGGCAGTCGAAAACAAGTCCCTGGTCACAGCAAGGGACAAGGGACATGGGGAGATTGCAGAGCCGAGTCGAAGGGACAGCTCGACAATGAAATCCAGCCGGCTGCGGGATAGTCACTCTGGGAAATGGAGGAGTCCTCACTGGCAGAGTTATTTAAGACTCGACTTTGAAACACGAGACACTCTGCAGTTGGGAACAATGCTGCACTGTCAGAGAGATGGACTCAATTACTTAATAGGTCGTTGCTGTCTGTCTCCTGTGATTTTCCTTTCAAGAACATATATTCAGCTGGGTTATTTCTCATGGGAAGACAAAGCTTTCTGAGAGAAGCCAGGCATTTGGAGGGGAGAGGCGGGAGGAGCGTCAGCCAGGCAGATGCCCAGTTTGCTTTCTGCAGAGCATGCTGCTCGGGATGTGGAGAAAGCTGGAGTGATGTATCTGATGTGGTATTTTAGTCTTGTAACCAGCTGGTCCCCCAGTCTCATAGGTCTTGCTTCCTTTTCTCTGCTCACGGAAGATTTGCCACATTGCTTTCTTCTTCCCGACTCTGATCCCCAGGACTACTGGTGGTGGGACTGTGGTCCCACGGGCAGCAGTGCAGATGCTGCATGGGCCATTGGTTGCTGGCTTGCTAAAACATCCAGCGTTGGATGGCCGCATATCCAGCCCTGACGAGTCCGTACAGTTCATCTCGGGGTATGGACAGCCTCTGCTCTAGCACAGAAAGGCTTTGATGCTGTTTGGTCACAATGACAGACAAGCTGCAGGAAAAGCTCCTGGCTAGGAGCCCCTCTCCGAGTACCCATTCGGTTCTCCGTTAGCAGGACATGGTGGACAGGGATGTGTAATGGACACGGTGATGCATGTTCTCACCAAAATTACTCTGTCAGCTGTGGGGGGAGCATTTCATAGGCACTTTCCTTGTTGGGGTCACGGGCCTAATTCACAGCCCTGATAATGGGCAGCGTGAGCTTAGCCCGAAGGCAGCGGCAGGACCCCCACTGCTGGGGTGTGAGCCTGTCTGTGTGTGCACACGCGCTTCGTGGAGGTGAGTGTCCGGGTGCACACGCGTGTTTAAGGCATCTATCCTTGTGCACTTGTTTGTCACCAAATTAAGACACTGCGTTACCTTATGTACGTTGAATTGATGCAACTAAATTGTCTGAGTGTTCTTAAGCCCTAAGGGTGTAATCAGATTTTGCCCATTTCTTTTTCTTTTTTTCAGAATAAGTCGTCTGTTTAATGGCACAGAGCCTATTGTCTTGGACAGTTTAAAACAACATTATTTCATTGATCGAGATGGTGAAATTTTCAGATATATATTAAGCTTCCTAAGGACATCTAAGCTACTGCTCCCAGATGACTTTAAGGTAAGGAAAGCTATAGTCTGCAGTCCATTTTTTAACTCCCATTCTGTAATTTGCAGGTTGGTTTGTGTGCTTGACCTAAACACACTTAACTAAATGTTGCTGTTTATTGTTAGGATTTTTGGTGCTTGTGTATCACACCAGGGATGCTATTATTTAATAAATGGACCAATGGTTGTCATGGATACCATAAAAAGTTAAACGATGAAGCTTACAGCTAAATCAGTTTTTCTAAACTAATTGTATTTTCTTACATTTTTAGCTTGTTTATCAGGGTATAACAACAATTAAGAAGCAACATCAGCAACTAGCACTTACCAGGGTTTAATGCTCAGAATCTGAAAGAAATGTTTTAAATTTGATACTTACAAGACTTAAATTGTGTAAATCTTTTTCTTGTTGGTATAAAAAAGAAACCCCCTTAAACAAGCCCATGAGGATTTATGTTAGATGCAGATACTTTGATTTCAGGAAGTAATCTTTTACACAATTTGTGAATGTTAAAATATTCTTGGGGGCTGGAATTTACTGAGGGCTTTTTAAGGAACAAGACATGTTTTCTGTGAAATAATGGAGCTGGTTGTTGCTTTACAAACCCTGATTTCTTTAAACGCTCTCCTGCTAGCCTTGTTTATTTGGCTTTGCACTTAGAAAACTTGCAATATTGTCATCCTTATGTATGAAAATTAGAAGACAAAAGTGTCCAAACTGTAGATGACAAGATTCAACAAAAGCACTAACTCCAGGATGAAATGATGAATAAATTGGGATGGCAGCGGAGATCTGCTCAGAGTTAGAGGATGTGGAGCGTTGCTGGAAAGGAAGGTTCCCACGCCATGCAGTAAGATTTCACTGTGCATGTAGGACTAGGTAGGCAAGATAATTTGGCCGGTCATGACTGAGTCAGTCCAGATTTGTGGTTGCTGTGGTGTCTGTAGCTGTGGAGTACAGCTGATCCTCCTGCTGCAAACCGCTCCTCAGCCATTCCTGCCTGAGCTACGAGTATAATCGTACTTGACCCCGGCATCAGAGTGTTTACAGTTAACGTTGAGCAGACACGCTGTGCGATGGGAGCACACATCTAGTCCCAAGGCAGGGAGGAGTTTGAGCATTCCTGGGCGGTTTGGAGCTCCAGCCCAGAAGGGCTGTCCTGAGCACTGCTCTGTCTGAGCAGCGGCGGGCAGGCCAGGGAGGCTGGCCTGCGGGTCAGGGTGCTGGGGAGCAGGGCGAGAGCCAGAGCGCTAAGGGGTGGATGTGAGAAAAGCTTTTTACAAAGAAATGAGAGAAAAAGCACAGGTAGGAGTGAAGCTAAAGGCCAGACCGGTTCTGTGGCTTGTAAGATGGCTCAAGTGAAAGGGGATGGATAGAGAAGCGGTGCAGGTGCAGTGCCGGAGCGATGCTTTAGCAGCAGCTTTTTGGACAATGTGGTGGGACAAGAAGGCATGAGAAGTGAGGGTAAAAGAGATGTAGTTCAAGCTGATCGTGGCCTCAACCAGCGTTCAGATTTCAGAGGTGCTGTGAAACAAAACCAGCAGGATTCAGTAAGAGCCTGGAGGTGAAAATGCTGGTGGATGCCAAGGACTTGTCTGTGCAGTGAGCCAGTGGCAGGGCTGGGAGAGACTCGGGAGAGCCGGCGCTGTGCCCGGGCTCAGTCCGTTGTTCCAGACCATCTCTTTGCATTGGGTTAACTGTATTTTATTTAGTTCCTCCCTGGGAGAGCTTTAGAGCAAACCCCAGGCTAATGAGGGCTCAAGAACAAAGCAAAGTATTGCTAGGTAGGGAGTAACTAAATAAAAATGCATAGAAGAATGCACTGCAAAGCTATATTAAAACTGCATTGTAAACGGATTTGACTTCACAGAAATCGTGTAATTTTACCAGCATGATTAAAGTGACAGAAGACAATAATCAAAGGCAGCAAATGGAATCACTTGGTGTTTCTAAATGCAAAACTCTATTTAAGGTATAAAACCTGACAGGTTTTCCAGTGAGACTTGCATTAAATGTTCTTTATGTCAAACAAAGCATTATCAAATGTTTTGAATATTTATTAGTTTTTACCCCTTAATTTAATCAAGCAGTTTATTAGCCTCAAGGTTTAGCCAAGTTGCTTTTCAACTTGAATTGCTGCTCAGACAGTTATTTTGGAAAGTTTGGAATGTTAGTACCATACCAGCGTTATTGTGTTTGCTATTTAAGTGTTGTTTTCAGAGTAAGTTAACACTGAAATGCAGAGAAAGTGGGGTATGTGTTCCTAGGCTAGTGATTCTTTATTATCAAGTCTGAGTGGTGTGTTTACAGTGAATATTAATTACCCTTCCAACTACTAATAAGCCAGAACTTGAAAGTGTTTCATATCTGACAGGTCTCCCTGCTGAAAGCAACACTCTAATAGTTCATATAATTTTCCTGGGTTTGGAAGATTTTAAGCCACATGAAGTACACTGGGAAATTACCCTGAGTTGTTTGGGTCGGTTCCCCGTTGCAGCCAGCCCGTGCTGAGCGAGGTGACGGCGAGCAGCCTGGAGCTACTTACTGTTCCCTCGTCCTGCACCGGTTCAGAGTCCCACGTGTGTTGTTGGGACCAGCAACAAATACACCCGAGCAGGGCGTGGAAGGACCACCCCCTGGTCTGCCGCGCTGCGGGGTTAAGGGGGGGCTGGCACAGGAGCTGCCCCTCCTCTGCAGCCCAAATATTCTCTGTCTTGATCCGCCCCCTGCCATCAGAGGTGTTTCCCCAGGACAGTTACAATCAGCATCTGTCCCCTTCGCTGCCAACACGTAACTTCATGCAAAACCAGGATCCATTGTACCTACTTACTTGAGACTCACTCCTTGCTTAGAGATCTTCAAACAAAACTAGACATAGGCAATGTATACATTATTACTCCATCTTGAAGGGAGGAGGACAACTGCAAAAGACATCTGAGTTTCACGTGGGTTATAGAGGTCACCTGTCACACTGGAACCACAAGGCCAGCGTGCTAATTTATTAATATCATTTTAAAATTAGTGTGCTTGCATCTAGTTTTAAGTGCTCTCAAACTAACCTTAGCAAACGGCGCAGTTGTCCTAGAAGCGAGCAGCTTCCTCTTGTAGCCAGGAGTCAGATCTTCACAGCGCTAAAATATAAGAGAAACATTAAGTCAGGATGACAGTTTGTTGTTTCATGTAAACAAAGAATAATGAATGAGAAATGGGCAGAAAGAGCCGTTTCAGCCTGTTCAGGAGTCAGCATTAGGTACAAAAATAAAGGACCTCTGTAGTACTGAGAGAACAGCATCAGGTTCACAGGAGACGTCGTTTCAGGGTTTCTGTTGGCTGTCTCTGCCTGTAGTCGGCAGATCTTTACTGACCCACTGGCACCGATGTCAGACAGCAGCACAACTGGCCATGCAGCCACGCTTCCCAGCTCCTGCCCAGGAGGATGTCACCCTTGTCAGAGGTGACTGCAGAACTTAGCTAATGTGCAATCCACCAGAAAAAAAGCTTTTCTACTGAATCACGAGCAGAAAATTATTTTATGAAAGGCAAAAAGCTGCATCTTTGAAAGATCTGTTTCCCTTTGCCATGAGATCTACATGTTGTCCAGAAGCTGTGGATGGAGAAGGGCTGGATGCATCCTGGCTGCCTGCCTGCTCCCTTCTCCAGGCGACCAGACAGAACTTCCCCACTAGTTCCTACAGCAACCACGAGAAGTTGAAGGCTCATGGTAGCTCCTGAAGGCTTTTTGTGCTACTTCAGAGGAAAATCAGAGGCTGTCCCTCTCCCCTTTCAGTCTGTTGCAGAGAAGGCGCAGTACCTGTATGCATTGATCAGCGTGCGCCTGGGACAGAAGCTGTACTGGGCTGGTCAGAGGGTGAGTGTCAGTGAAGCAGCGGGCACTTTGCCACTGTGCCTGGCAGTTAACACCCTGTAGCTACTCCTGTGCCCGTTTCAGTGCAATGTGCCTCTTTTGGATAGGCCTGGGAACATTCGTATCTGCATCTGCCTTTGGTAACTTACCAAATGAGCATCATGGAAATGTTTTCTTGCAGCTCCTGTGGCACCTCCCTGGCGAGGTCCCTTGTGAGTCAAATTCTTCTACTTGACATTTCATTTTAAGCTTCTGCAAATCATCAGGGTAAGATTTTATATCTAGAGTGCAAGGGTGGAAGTACCCATTCAGCATTACCTGGGCATCCTGAGCATCCTGTGTAGACAATCCAGAGCTGGGCTTCGCTTCCACTTTCCTCCTACCAGGGGAGGTAAAGGTGGTGTGATCCTGGTTTCGTGTGCTTTATGGCATTACTGTTTTGGCCTGGGGGTGCTAAACCGTTGAACTCCCGTGATTCAGGATACTTTCCATCAGGGGACAAGGTGACTTCTTTAATCATCCTCTTGGTTTTCATCTTTGTCTCCTACCCGTGAGCCTGTCTGTTGCCCTCATTTCATCCCACTTGCTCTTATCCCTCTTTCCTCTCTTTCTATGGTCCTTTTTTCCTCCCTTAGTGGTGCACATACTGTCCCAGCCTCAACAGACATCAAAGAGATGTAAAGGATGGGATGTCCCTTTTGTAACGTGATAACCTTGCTGGTGTCACTGTGAATATTCATACATCCCCAGGCTGTAGGCAGTCCTGGGGTGAGGAGCACCTCTCCACTACCGGCGGTGGGTCTGTGGTGCCAGATGTGAGAACAGTGAACTGCTTTGGTTCAGTAATATCCTGCAGCAGCAGATTTTGCAGGTTAATTCCAAGCCGCTATGAAGAGTTGCACCTTTTTCTGCTGCACGTTCATTGGCCTTTGATTCCACCTCTTCCCTGGAGCAGTAGTGCTGCCATTATTTTTCATGTAATTTTTGTGCCCATTTCTTGATTACTTCTTGTCATGCCCTTCTTTCCATCCTAAGTGATGCCAGTTATTTCACTCTTGTGATTTTTCATTTCACTGTGTTTCATTGCAGCGGTGGAGCACTGGCCTTTCTGTCCAGGTGCTGACCTACAGCATGCTCCAGAGAAGACCCGCAGCGTCCCTGCGGTGCAGCATTTCCAGCTGTAAACTGGCCTAGGAGCCGGGAAAGCAAACGGCAGGTCTTTGGCAAGAGGAGCTGGTGCTGTGCTCTTGTTGCTCCTCTTCTCTTCAGGAGGCTGAAGGAGGTGGTGGGGCTGGTGTAAGCAAACCGCCCCCGGGTGCTTTCCCTCCCTCTCCTTTCTGGCTTGGTCTGGTGGGCACTGGAGCCTCCTCTGTCTGGGGGCTGCTGACTCCCTTTGCCTCTGCTGTGTTTGAGCTGAGGTGGGAAGGTCTGTTGGAAATCTGATGAAAAGTTATTAATGAGGATGTGCAGCAGATATCTCAATCAGTGACCTAGGAACCAGATCAAATGGGGAATTTGAATTGCCCAAAGCCCAAGTGAGGTGATGGACAAGTGACTGGGAAGAACTGTTTCTGTTGAGTTGCTGGAGTGCACAGCTGAGCTCCCAGCCAGCGGGAACAGTCACTGCCTCCGTATAATTTCACAGGCTCCAAAGTACACTTTAAATACATGAATAATCATGAAGCACAGGGAGCAGCTGAGCTGCTGCAGCTGAATTTCAGAGTCAGCAAAGACAGGTGAGAAGTGAAGCTGAACTGACATCTCCATCTCGTAACATGTGTGCGAGAGGTGACAGCAGAGCCCGAGATCTTCTGTTGTAAGACCAGAAGTGAATGTCTGAGGCCAAGAGTGAAGATGAGGGCTCAGGACATCTCCTCTTATATCACCAGGCTTTGCTTATTGCAGCCCGTTGCTTTGATTTATTAATCCAAAAGTAAATCCTTCTGGCATTCAGCTTGTGGGATAATAAATGAAAGAATAATTCAGTGCAATGGGAACTTCATGGTCAGCTCAAATAGATTCAACACTAACACACTGTGGTTTTCTGTGTAGGTGTAAGACGAAGACAAGTATGTGGATACCTGTTGCCTTTGCACTCTTGCTGACAATACATAAGCCTAAGTAGGTCAAACAGGAACAATACTCATTTTTAAAAGAGTACTATAAGCATTTCTAGTTTCTCTCTCTCCCTCTCTTGTTTTTTTTTTTTTCCCAGGACTTTAATCTTTTATATGAAGAAGCAAAGTATTACCAGCTGCAGCCAATGATTAAGGAACTTGAGCGATGGAAACAAGAGAAAGAACAAAGGAAACATTTCCAGCCTTGTGACTGCTTAGTCGTAAGAGTGACTCCAGATCTGGGGGAAAGAATTGCATTGAGTGGGGAGAAAGCTTTAATAGAAGAGATCTTCCCGGAGACTGGGGATGTCATGTGCAACTCCGTCAACGCTGGCTGGAACCAGGACCCTACCCACGTTATTAGGTTTCCTTTGAACGGATACTGCCGGTTGAATTCAGTGCAGGTAATGGCCTTTCGGTGCTGGCTCATCTATTTGCTGGGGTGTTTTTTTATTATTTCTTCTTCAATTATATGCAAATTATTTGCTTCTGCCCAATTACCTTCAGTGCTTATACTGCAAGGAGACATTTTCTGCCTGGTGAGATCACAGTCTTTCAGGTTTTCCTAAGTCTAAGCAGAAAAATAGATTTAGATTTTTGTGTATGTTAGTGCCATGCTGGTCTCATAATGGTGTTATACTGATAAATGCTAATTTTTTCATCAATGTATAGCCTGCAGCAGTTTTTTTTTTTCCTCCAAAGTGCCCCCAGGAAGAGAGAGAGAGTTCCAAAAACTACAAAAAAAAAATCTCCACACCATTTTATAGAAAATGCAACAATGTGTAAATGCATAATTTATGTCTCACTCATAATTAAATGATGGTGCCTGCGGGATGGACTTAAAAAAATTGATCTCTGCACTTTTTTTTTTTCAAAAGGATGTTCTATAAAAATTGCCCAGAGTATTTTAAACAAAATGTATTTCATTTTATACTCAGAGTTTTGACATTAGGTTTAAAATTAAACATATGAAACAAAAGAAGATAACTGGACAGATAGGTGGATGGCAGCAGAAATAAATATGTGGCTTGTGTTTAGGCAGCAGCCTTATGGGCAAGAAATGCCATTTCAAGAGGGATCACCGCCACTGCAGCCAAAGCTTTGGTGGTGGAGCTGTCCTTGGGCTGCGGAGAAGGAACAGTGTTGATGATGCTGTTAACTTGTGCCTTAATTAACAAGGGCAAAACAGAGCTCCTGGTTTTTTGCATATAGGCCTTTAAAATGTGCTGCAGAGAATACTTGTATTGTGGGAAGTGAAATCAACCTACAGGGGAATATTTCCAAAGTTACCATCCCCTGCAGACGGGCTGTGGCTGCCGACTTTAACTGGGCTGTGGGAAGTGCCTCAGTGGTCTTGATAAACTTCGCTGGGGCAAATACCCACAGAAGAGCTGGTCCGTGGGACAGGCTGGGGACAGGTTGGGGAGGGAGGAGTAAGGGCGAGGGAGGGCAAGGACCTGGAGCCCTTTCTTACCTCTGCTGTGACTACGCAGCAAGCTGAGGCACCCTCCATCTCCCAAGCTGCCAGTTGACAGCATTTTCTGGAGACCTGCAGTTACCAGGATATGTAAAGGTGGATGGAGATATTTAAACACGTCCCTCCTCGGGGCAGTGTTCCCTGGTGCCCCCACACTAACAGACGGTTTTGTCAGAAACCATTCTAAACCCAGCGATTTTTGGTGATTTTTGGTTCAAGACTCCCAAGTGTTTTGTTTGGTTGAACTTTCACAGTCCGGTGCCCGTGGTTAATTTTGCACGGTCCTTAGCAATTTCACGTTCAGCAAGGTTTAGTGTGGGCTGCCCCCAAAAATAGAAGGCTGGAGGTGGGTTGGAGGCAGATGCGTTTGCTGGCAGGGGGAGCAGTGCTGAATCCATCACTGTGCTGGGCAGAGGAGGGAGCAGCTGCAGTTTAGCTAAGGTAAGTGCCCAGGGAAGCATCTCCTGTCTCAGCCACACTGTCCATGCAATACAGTTGGAGGCATGCAAGAAATGAGAACAACTGAAACAATAAAGGGTCGCTGCGAGCCGCTGGCGGGCTCAGCACTGCAAGCAGCCAAAGCGCTGGGTGCCCACATGGCTTTAGCACTTGGCTCCATTTTATCCAAAGTGGTGTACTGGTAGGAAACGTGCGCTTGTCGTAAAAGCTGAATGCTAATTACTGTTATTATTTGAATGTGTTTTGAATTCAGTTAAAATTCAGACAGAATCAAAGAGTCTCTTCACAGGTTTATGTTGTGCAAAAAAAATTCTGTCAAAGAGTCTACAGTCTAAATAATATTATTAAATTACATAATTCTGCTAAATTACATCATTTTACTATATAATTAATAGAAAGTGTTTTCAAACACTTTCTGGAAAATGATGCATTTCTGAGACCAAAGGCTGATGAAATCAGCAGCTAATTATCATTGGCTCTGATGGACTCTGGTCAGCGCATAGGCGTGCCCTTCCCCTTCCCAGCATTTTCTGGCAAAACAGTATCAAGTCAGAAGTTGGAAGGGCAGTGAAGTAAATGCGTAGACGTAAGAGAGATGGGTTAGAAGAGGTAGGGGTTGGAAGAGCAGAATCATTTCCAAAGAATCTCAGAGAGCAACGCAGTGTCTGCCTGCAGTTTGCAGAGATACATCATTGTTGTCTCCCTGTGCCCTGCTAAATGTATTTGGTAGTTCAGTTGCAATATTTATAAATTCTTTGGGTTTTTGGAAAATATTTTCACTGAATGTTTTATGTCAAGAACTGTGCGTATAAAACAAAGAATGTCAACACTGGGTAGGTAGTAGCAGCCAAAAAAATACAGTAGGTCTTAACACCCATTTGTAATTACATATAGGTATAGAGTTTTCCTAAGACTGACACTGTTTTTCAACTCCTTGCAACAGGTTCTGGTGAGATACATGAGCTCACCTTAGAGAAAATTCTGTGATACTTGTATATGTTGAACATTGAGTCTTCATAATTAAGACTGGATTTGTTAGTATTCTGCAAGATTTAAATGAAATGCAATAAGTGAAAGTATCTTGTTTCTGCTTGGAAAACCTTCCAACAAAATCAGAGCTTGTACCTCGATGTGATCGGAATACTGGAAGACAGAGTATATTAAATCCTAGCACAAATCCTCTATTTAATATTGTATGTGTGTCTGCTTACACGTAGGAGAATCACAGCTGACACTCATTTACTTGTTGGCATATTCCTTTTGGAGATCTACAAGAAAGTAGCTCTGATTTGATTCAGAGACACTTACTAGTTTCCCTCTGTTTGTATCTTACCTCCAGAAAAAGTAATGCGCACAGAGCCAGACTCACTAAATGGCATTGAAGCCTCTTGATGGTCAACATGCCGGTTAGTCTCGTGCAGGCACCAGCGCACACCAACGCGTGCTCAGCACACACAGAAGCAGCCTTTAGGAGCCTTTCTCCATAGACCTGAGCTCAACCTCATCCAAGATACACTTAAAACTCTACAATATTTAAACATCGTCTGCATTGTTTGCAGGATTTAGCCTGGTTTGTTTCTTTCTGAGAAGGGCTGATGATACCAAGGATTTTAAAACCAGATTATAGCCTGCAGTCTAGCCCTTCAAGTGCGTAGGTAGCAAAAATGAATCGCTTTGTTCTGTGTGCGGTGCTCTAAGGTGTAATGTCTGCCTGGATTGTGTGTTTGCAGAGAGCTGGCTCAGTAAAGCAAAGCCTTAAGTTAATGTGCAGCTTTCCATAGGTTTGGACTGAGGCAAGCCAAGGGCACCCGTGTGCTTGTTTTGTGTTACAAGAAAATTGATTTTTAAAACTTTTTAGCAAGGATTTTGGAGTCACGGCTCTCTCTGAAATCTTACCTGTCAATCCTCTGTTTTGCTGTCCAGTTGAATGGAAGGAGCCTCTTCTCCTGTAGCTGGGTTGCCTTTCATCTTCATCTTGCCAGTCTAGGAACAGGGATACATGATGCAGTCAGAATACACTCCAGCCTGGGAAACAGCGCTCTGATGATCTTATTCCTTCTTCCCTCTCGAACTCCTGCCTTCCTGTTTGAGCAGGAAGAAGTGTTAGTGTCTGCAGCCCGTTTCTGTCCTACAAGCTGCCAGACAAATAAGAGACTTGCAAGCTTTCTATCTGTTTTAAAAATACATTTTGATCACTCACTCCTCCACCCCCTCCAAGAAATGCACCTTGGCCTCGCGTGGGTCTGTGTGCGAGGGCCAGGGCAGAGGTCTGCTGTGCAGATCTTTCCCACAGCCAGCTTGTGCCTCGAAACGTAACTACTACTGCAGTCGGTGTGACTGCTGAAGTGCTTCAACAGGGCTGGTAACACCGAAAAAAAAATCAACTCTTTCTATAACATAAACCTGTGGCAGCATGTGAGTTGACTGCATCTGAATTTGGGCATATTGCTTACACACTTCTCTGGGTTGAGTGAACAAGCTTTTAAAGAGCTCAGTGCCTGCCGTCGTGGGTGGCAGACGGCTGTCACGTGAGGATGCTGGTGTTACCAAGTTCATCAGGTTTAGTAAATCCTTGGGTTCACTTCCCAGGGCAGTGAGCCCACGTGCTGTAGCAGTGGGAGTGGTACCTTGGGTGAGACTGTCACATAGCAGCACAGGCTGCTCCCCCTTGATGGCATTTATCAGCAGTGGAAAACCAGGACCATTTTCCCAGGCTACTGCCCCGGGCTCAGGAGAGCTGCCAGCGGGAAGGAGGGAGGAGCACGGCATCTCCTCTGGTGGACCTTGCATTGCAGATCTGCCAAAGGTGGATCCAGCATCTGCTCTCACCTAACGCTGAGAAGAGTCTGTGTCCCCCCTGCTCTGCTGGGAAACCGTATATCAACACGCTCACCCATGTGAAATCACAGCCCGTATCGTATTGCCAAGATCAGTATATCCTAGGGTAATGTGCTGTGTGACAGTCTCAGAAATTAAAGTTGCCTCTGGGTTCCTTAAATTCATGCATCTAAATTGCACCAACTTTTCTTTAGAAGGAGAAAGAAAAAAATACACATTTGGGCAATACAAATTAACCTCTTTCTTGAGCCAGAACATTTCCTTATTGCCCACGTCTTGGCTCCGCATCCCGTCCCTGCCATGCTTTGCTAAAAGCAGTGCTCCCTTGCAGCGAGGGAAAATCACAGCTGTGATTGCCGTGAAGATCTGGTGGAAGTGTCACTCAGACTCCTAATACGTTATCATCTGCCAAGGAAGAGCTAAGAAATGTTTTCAGCCCCTCTCTGTAAGACTGTTCATATTACTAATGAGTAATGGGCACTTTTTATTACGACTTAAACCTGATGTTGCCTTCTGTATGCAGTAAGACAGCATCAATATCACCACAGTCCAGTATTTTAGTATATAATGTACTAAGCTGCTCTGCAGAGTGCTTATTTGTTTGATTAATTTTTGTTTTGTACAGAGGTTTGCTGAGAGCGAGACTTTAATCACAGTGTAGTCATTTAAGAAGAAGTTATAGAATTATAGCTGAATAATATTCATTCAATGAGGACTCGAAAGACTAAATCCATCATTTAGATCCACTGCTCCTGAATGTTTTTACCACTAAAATTTGCTAAATATTAATCTGATTTTTTTTCCCCACATTGCAGGTGCTCGAAAGGTTATTTCAGAAGGGATTTAACGTGGCAGCTTCCTGCGGTGGTGGGGTGGATTCCTCTCAGTTCAGTGAATACGTGTTGTGTCGCGAGGACAGACGACCACAACCTACCCCAACGATCAGAATAAAACAGGAGCCCCTGGACTAGACCCTACCCGTACTCCTTTGTAACCGTAGAAGTGTTTAATAGTCCCTTATGTGAAACACTAAGGATTTGCAAAACAGTATTAGCAAACAGATTTTGACTTTATGTTGCCCATTAGTGGTATTCTGAAACTACCTGTCACATAGCCAGCCATGAAATGCATTTGAGAGACCAGTTGTCCGTTTTTCACGATGAAATTCCTGAGCATGCTCAGCGTACCAGGCCTGCTGGGGATGTACTTTGGGCTGAGCAGCTGTGGCGGTGAAACAGGCAAAGCTTCATAAACCCCTGACCCTCGATTGGACTTCTGCAGAAAGACCAGTGAAAGCAGTTTGAGTAGATCAGCAGGAGAAACGGTTCCGACAGCCTTTCCAACGACACCCCAATGCTGTGATACTTGGAAGTGGGCGCCTCCGAGAGGAAGCTGGTACACTAAAAACTGCACTGAGTATCCTCCCCGACTGCCGTACCTCCTTCATATCAGATGTGCTTTACACCTCCATACATGACGTACACTTCTGTGATTGTACTCACTCATGCTAGCAAATGGCTTATTTTTATACAACATTTCCAACTGAAATATCTCTCTGTGGACAGAATCCAGAATCGGAGAAGGACCGATTTATAGTCAACTGGTGCTCAGTACAAAAAACCCCCCACAAACCAAACAAAAAAGCGACAAAAAAATTGACAAGGCGATGATGGCAACATCTGCAAAAGTAGGGATCTGGAAGCACAAAATAAAGTGCCATCCACCATCACCCAAGGGTCGCATACCTAACGTGGAGCTGTAGTTCTCTTAAAGCCAGTCTGGTTTTAACTCGGAAACTGTTCAGTTTTGCATCATCAAGGAAGCACAGTTCTGCCAAGCAAGCTCTGCCACCCCTTGTTACTCATTTCCTACCCTGTAATAAGCCCACATTTAGGAGGAAACGTTAAGAATTTTGGACAAGCCTACTCTTTATGGGTCCAGAATTTTTGCAAAAAGATGTTAAAACCTCTAACTGCCATTGTCTGACGAAAGCAGGCCACCTTTTGTTTAGGTTGTTTTTCCTTTATTATTTTAAAATACCAATTCTGTAGCTGCCCTCTACCTGTGTAATTTTCTCTTCACCGAAGCCCACTGTCTGCGGGAGGTTACTGCTCCTTCCACGAATCAGTATCGACTCTGACTTGCGGGGCTTCCTAACTCAGGAGACAGCACCATGTTTGCAGGTGCAAAGTTATAAATAGCATTCTGCTAAATCCTGTTCATCGCTGTTTAGCATGATTGGGTCCTCAATAACTAACTCATGTGTTAATCACAATTGAGTTTCTCCCACGTTAATTTATAGAATACTGTTGTAGATGCTAAATTTTAATTAAACTCTTTTTAAATGCATAAATACGGCCATACAGAACAAGGGACAGAGTATTAAGTGGTCAACAATTCTTTAATGCCAAATGATTACAATTGGGCAAAATAAAAAAATCACCTGTAAGACTCTTGTGTTCAGAAGCGGTGAGCGGGACTGACTGTCCAAGGTACAATCTAGGCAGGGGTCTGATTTTTGGAAAAGTGCTGGATACCTGTCCATGGAAGATCAGACCCCTGCAGGTTTTCTCACCTTGGTTACACAACTCAGAAATCTCTGCTGGAAATCTTGGCCGATAGGTATTGGCCTGCTAACTTAGCAGAACAGTTGAGCAAATCTGTCTAGTTTAAAAGAGTTGTAAAGTTATTTTATTTTGTGGTTTTATACTTGTACGACATTCTAAAGTTGCTAGGCTTTGCCATATTTGAATATATGGCACAACATTCACCTTTGTATGTAAGATATCTGTAGAATTGTATATTATACATTTAATATTGTAAAGAACTTAACGTATAATTGTCATGTATTTGTGTATGCACATTTCTTATACAGTACTTCATGCCATAAACATTTCTGTAAAGTAAATGATCAAAAATACGCAAGTAGGGTGGAACACTCACTGTATCTCCCGTGTTGTTTGAAAGAGGTGAGAATTTCCGATGGCGTCTCCTCCAGCCTTCTGCTCCGTTCAGCTTGATGTAGCCATCTCTTACAAAAAGAAAAACAAATGTTTTATTTATTACTTTCATACATTGAATTCACTTTAAGTTTAAAATAACCTTAAATAATCCATTTAGCTTCGTGTTTTTATCCTGTGTACACTTTGTCCTGCCCCCTGAGCAGGGAGAGTTGGCACGAGCAGCATCTGAGCGCTCGGCTGCCGGCGCATCCTCTCCGTCCGCGACCTCTCAGCCAGGGGAGCCGGGCGAACACTCACGTTTACATTTAAGCACAGGGCGCAGTCCTGCCGCTCTACTCAGGCCAAGCCTCCCCCGAGGGCTGTCTGCCAGCGGGATGGACGCCGAGCACCCGCCACGTGCTGAGCACAAGGCGCAGGCAGGCAGCTCGCACGAGCTGGGAAGCGAGATGATGCTTTTAGATGTATGTAGAGCGTTGGAAGTATTTGTGGTTTGTTAGTTTGGTTTTCTTCAGTTTAGTGTTTACCGTATTTTTTTTCATAGCTCAATAAAGCAGCTCCAGTTCTTAGGGCAGCTTGCTAAGGTGGCATCATAAAGGGTTCCAGTCTGCGCCAGCCCAGTTAAATGTGAACTTGAGATGGAAAGCTTGAGCCATGACATCACAACCTTGACTGCAAAATAGCACTAAGGGAAGAACGACATGTGGAAACAATAATTTCGTTAGAAGAAATATGCCTTTGAAAAAAAGAGTTAAGCTAGGACATGTTCTTTTAGTTAGTAACGTCAGGTCACTTATTTAAAGTTTATTACAGTTTCATGTATATATTTTTTACTTATTTCCCTTTATTTTTAGGCAGCACTATCAGCAAAAAAAACTGATTTGAATTTTTACTTCTGGCCTTAAACCATAGCAAGATAAAGGAACATTGCTCAGTGTCACTAAAGCAGGTTTTAAAATATCATAGGAACTCCAGCAAAGCTGTGGTGTGCAGCCAGCAAACCTTTTTATTACAAAGGCCAAAAAGTAAACGTAGCCTGGTTTTTGCCTAATTCGGTTGAACAAAATTGTTCTGATTGTCTGTCGCTGAGCACTGAAACTGTGGCTTGAAGAACACGAGTCTTCGCTAGCACTTTCTGTACAACCCTGTTACACCACTGTGCTCCCAAGTTTTGGAAAGAAAGCGGACGACAGAATGTTATGTTGTGCTTATTGGACTAATGGCTTTTGAGAAAGCAACTGTTGAGTGCATTCATTCACTGTATTAATAGCATCAAGGTTTGTTGACAATTTTATTAGAAGTTTGACAAAGGATAAGAATCAGCACAACAAAACATTGAAGTATTTGGTTTTAATATTTCTTTTTGGGTATTCTGTTAATATTTTAATGCAAAATGTTTCTGAACAGTGCTTAAGAACTACAAGACAATGTGAAATTCATGTTTGATAAATTAATACTGTATGTCACTCGATGTGTTACTTTAGTAAATTGTTTTATTTCTTTACAAAATAAGTACAAATAAGGGAGTATGTTTTCACACAAATTGGGGGTATTTACGAATATGTACAGAAATAATCAAAATAACGTAATTCTAATAAACACAAGGCCTTTATAAACAATATGTACAAATTATCAATACATTTAAAACATAATTTTACACTTCCTGGCCTTAAATACCTTATGAATAATCTTTTGGCTAAATAGCAGCAGTATAAATTTTCTTCTGCTTTTCATAAACCTTAAAAAATAATTAAAACTTTCGTTTTTAAAACTATTGGACAAATAGTTCTATTTGTGCTTTCACTATGGTTTCCCATCAAAAAAAAAAAAAGTATTGCCTCAAAAAAGTGGCAAGCATAACATAGTAAAAATTGAAAAGATAAATAAGCAAACGTCTCCCTTCCATGGTTACTGATAATACTGTTAGGTTTGAAGTACAGCTTGTGCCCACCTGCCTGCTTAGTGTTCCTGTCCGATACCCATTTAAAAGACTCACACTAACTTCGCTTGGCTTTGGTGTGGGGCCCTTAAATTCCAATTCAGCAAAGCATTTAAAAAGCATTCATCCCACCTTTAAGTACTTAAAGCTACTCATTATGCTTAAAGTCATGCGCTTGTTCATGAGCCTCTCCGGACGCGAGTCCTTGGGTTCAATCGTCCAAGGCAAAGGCATCGCCAGTCCCTGCGGCGCTGCCCTGACCGCCCGGCGGCTCCGGGCTCCCGGGGCTCGCTCACCCCTGCTCTCATGATTCTCTAAGAGTGGAACTGGCCCCCAGACACTTCCTTTACAGTGACTTTAAAAATCCATATAGAATAAAATCTTTACTGAGCAATACGCTCTTTTAAAACCACGATTAAACCATACTCTCTGCATTAAATAAATTAAGCTTTTTTTTAGAAAATAAAACCCAACTTTGATTCATGTTACTAACCAGCTGCTACAAATGTGCAAAAGGTTGAAGCGACTTACAACTGGAAGCCAGTCAAGGTAACTCAGCTGGGACCCGAACGCACAGATTTCATACACTTAGGATTTGGTTCAGCAAATGGCTCAGGAAATGAGCTGTGCAGTAAAAGCAAAAATCCCAAATACACAAAATTTGTGAGAGTGTGCAGTGGCTATTCTCTTAGCTGTGCAAAAAATCGCAATTATAACTCAACTAAAATAACAACAGGTATCACCGTGGTTAGTCAGTGGAAACAGTGCTAGTAAAACTGAAAAACCAGCACCATAAGTGGAGATCCCGTGAACCTGTCCCGGTCCTTGCCGTGAGATGGTTTGGGTGAGCCATTGCAGCAGTCGTTCCATTTGCATAACTTCAACACCATCTGCTTCAGCCTTATCTGAAACAGCCAAATGGAGCAAGACTTGGATGTTGGTTATATCTGTGGATTTAACATGTTAAAACCTTTTGCACATTTTTTTGGGTTTTTCATTATTTTTTTTTTCCATAAAGGGGATTTATTGCATGTATCTGACAATTTTACATAAAATTACTGTGGAACATTGACTTCTGAAAAAAATAGAAGGCACATTAAAATGACAGCTTTTCAATGCAAGTTGAGCTTCTGTATGGAGAGATCAGTACAATTCTTGGCTTTATTTAAGCAGAGCTCGATAGAGCAGGAGAGAATGGCTCGTTTCTCTTTCCTGTTCCATGTAGAAGATGAAGTCCCTGAGGTTTACGCGAGTTATTTTCTGTCGTGCATACTGCCTGGATGAAGGAGTCCCCAAGCCAGCCTGACTTCCAGCAGACATACCGAGACCCTGCAAAGAAAACACAGCAAAGTCAAAAATCCTGCAGCAGTAAAGAGTCTCCTCGTACTCTCAGGTTTACAACTACTAACTGCTGGATTATTTTAAACATCTTAAATGGATCATTACGAGCCTAACTTAAAGTATTACATAAGGGTTTTTTTTTCTTTTTTTTTAATGTTCCTTCGAGTCTCACCAAGTTAACCTGAGTAAAGAAACTCAAGTGAAAACACATGTGAGGCTAGACCTTGTTCATTTGCAACTTGGGACAAGTATGCCTGACAAATTGTCCTGCTGCAGTTGTTACCCATAGATGTATTTGACCAGTTCAGTTTCAGGAGTCTTTTAAGGACAAAATTATTTGCAGCAGATTAAAGTCATCTTTAGTATAT